GGGGGGGGGGGGGGGGGGGGGGGGGGGGGGGGGGGGGGGGGGGCGCCAACGAAGGCTCGTTCGTTTCGGCTGTGTGTGGTCCTGCTGGTGAGTGGGCATATCTTATTCATTTCGCCTCCCGGACGGCACTGTCGAGGCCAGCAGGAAACTGCACTCTTAGCACGAAGACACATGCGTACTATCAACAGAAGCCGAAATATCACCATTGGACTTAACAGCGCTGACTACTCCGATCATTTGATTTCGGCTCCAAAAAAAATTTGTCCTGGCATGGGGTTGGTGAGCCAGGCGGCTGACTTGTCAAATGGTTTGTTGTCGTATGGCACACACAGGGATCATGGCATTCGCACAAGAATCTTCTGTTTTGAACGCCACTGAACGGACGGACGTCTTTTCATTGGTCAGTCGGATAGCGCGGCCGGTGCAAACACACACAAACAACCGCGCTGCCGCGCAAACACCCCAAAAAAACGGGCGAACACGCGCACCTTGTAGCCGCCCACTTCGTCTACGAAGTGAATGCGCTCCTCGGCCGGGAAGCCGTAGCCGTCCCTCAGCAGCGTGGTCACGTAGGAGGACATGAAGCAGTACTTGGCCAGGTAGGGGACGTTGTGCTCGTGGCCCTTGCGAACGGAGTTGTACGCGGACAGCTCCTCGTGGGACATGGCGCACACGCGCTTACCCTCGCTAACGATCTCTGCGACGGTCGTCGACTCGTCTAGGTCGAGGAACTGCCACAGCTTGTAGTACCTGAGGGAGAGGGATCGAAATCGTCCACGGGCGAGGCGCGTTCCACGGAAAGGCGGGATGGGGATGACGCGGTCCTGAGAGAAAGTGAACAATGTCCAATGATTTCGGCATCGAATAGGATGCGGTGCGCGCATGCGTGCGTGAGGACATGTAGAATAATTCCTCAAGAGGTCACTTTGATGGCAATAAACGGATGGGCGACAGTGCCGGGCTGCCGTGTGGTCGGCCCTGCCCAGTAGCACCGGCATCTCGTGCGAGGTCCGTAGCACCAAAAGTCTAGACAAAGGGGGATCTTTCGGACGAGAGCGTCAAGAAAGCGGGGGTAACAAAAATGACGCCAGAGTGGCGACCGACCCATGCCCTCATAAATGAAACACAGAAAAACGTGCTCTTCAAAAACCCAATTTTCCTAGAAACAAATATCAATATACCAAAATACCTCCCAACATTCACAGGCCATAAAACCTTCTCGTTGAAACCTCGTGCACATTTCGGTCACTCATACTCAGGAAGCCAAATACTTAGCAATTCACTAAACCGGTTCACTCCATACAATCCCCCAACCCCTCACATTCTCACATCTTACTTCCTCAGGCACTCACTTGGTCATTCACTCTGGCTCAATCACTCACTCATTCACTCACCCACTCACTCGCTCACTCAGACGCTCGGACACTAAGACACCATCTTCCATTTCCTCACTCACTCACTCACTCATTCAGACAACATCATTCATTTCCTCACTCACGCACTCACTCAGACACAATCTTCCATTTCCTCATTCATTTCCTCACTCACGAGCTCACTAAGACGACATCTCTCATTTCCTCGTTCATTCATTTCCTCACTCAGAGTCATACACGGCTTCACCCACTCACCCCGAGAAACCGTAGAACCGCCCGTGCTCGCCACCCTGGGGGAGCTCCGGCTGGTAAACGCCCAGGAGGGAGCACTGCCCTGGGAAGGCGGACTGGCAGAAGCTGCCGGATGAAGAGGAAACCTCGAGGAGCTCCGCAGTCTACGGCGGGGACGGAACGAGCCCGGGGGAGGGAGGGGGGTGGTTGGCGACGACGTTATGCTGTCTCCGTAAGAAAGCACAAGCGCATCTCTTCTCTGATGATGGGAATCGACATGGGGGGATAATACGTGAACTCAAAAATACAGTCGAACGTGACGGCGCGGCGTCGTGATTCTGTGCGCACATCATCAAGTTGTGTGTGTTGACATCTTGTGAGTAGATATATATTTTTCCGGTCTCGGGACAGGGGGGGGCTCAGAAACCAGTCGAAAGCTTTGCTAAAAAATGTCGTGCCCATCGCGCATGCATGCGGGGACACAACACAAGGTCTTGGCAGAAGAGACCTATGCACGGGAGGATCCGGAGCGAGGAAATACAATTTCAGGCCGTCGTTTTCAACGCTTCTTTGCTGTCCGAGAAGACGGGTTTCCCTTCCCTTATTGAGCCCTTCCGGTGGTGCCGATGGTGCACAGCGTATCTATGGCTTTGTGATGGATCTTGCCCCCGCGTGCGGCAATCAATCGTCTCGTGTCTTTAGCAGACAAGCTCGTCCTACTTACAACCCCGAAGAAAAACAGCAGTAGGACCGAAAACAAATGCGGCTTCTTGCCGCTTTTGGCCATCATTCGACTGGTACGAAACGGTGAGAAGAAGAGAATCCAAGCTGCAAGAACACAAGCTGCGAGAACACTCTCGCAGAAAAGCTGCAAAGAAGCGCACAGGATCTTGTTCAGCACGCCAGACCGACAAGAGCCGGCACGAGCAAAATATGGATTAGAGTCTTCTTTGCCAGAAAGTGGCTGGCCAACAACAACAACAACAACAACATCTACAATATCAACAACGAAAACAAAAACAACAACAGCAACAACAGCAGCAGCAGCAACGTGGTATTTCACATCATGCATCTGCCCGTCGTCGGCGCAAACAAACTTGTCCACAAACTTGTCCACACAAACACACACAATACAAACACACACACACACACACACACTTGCATTCTTTCGGTTTGTCAGAGTCGTTGGCGCTCAAATACGTACTACACCTGCCGGTTGCACGCGTCGAAGTCGGCGCCCCCGTCCGCGGGTACGATGAGGTACTCCTTTCCGTCCTCCGGGGAGGCGAAGCTCTCGTTAAAGCCCTTCGGGAGGCATGCGTCAACCACCTCCACCGGTGCGTCGCCGCTGCCGTTAACAGGCCAAGACGTAAGTAGAAAGGGACGTGCATTGGGGATATCGGTGCCGGCCGAGCGGGGCAAGGGAGGGTTGGGGGTCTGGTGCGTAATGTATCCGGCGCGTCGGGGTTATTGCCGCTAAGGATCCCATTTACCCTCATCTCTCCTCGAGGTTGTGCGCATAGCGCGGAGCATGGCCGAGTTCATCAACCATGGACGAAGTGGGGTAAAAGTTAGGTGTGACTGCCGTACCCATTCCTGACCAATACTTGATACCCATTCCATGGTATTTATGTATTCTATTCTTTGGAAAAGGTTTGCTGGACCAGCATACATGTCAAGGTTCAATTGCCACCCACCCCCCCTCCAAGCACAAGAACACAAGGCATGTGGAACCCATCATACCGACAAAAACTGACCATGATGCCAAAGAGCAATACGCATGTTATTGCAAGCTTCATCGCGAACGTGCTTTATCTACGAACTCACTGCGGAGGTACCGAAAGAGTGTGAGGGATCACACACAACAGGCCGCGTCGATAAATACCATTGGAGTATATATACCACGTGTTGCAGGATAACAAAATTCAAGCACATTTGATTCTCTAACAAAACTCGCCCTTCATTTGCATGTGCATCTGCAGCCGCCGCCGCCGCCGCCGCCGCGTGCACGACCTTCATGTGCATGCGGGCCCGTGCGGAGTTGAGGCCGAACTGGAGGAAGGAGTGCGTGTACACGTTCCAGTGCTTCTCGGCGCCGATCTGCAGCTTGAAAAGGTTGGCGAGGATGTCCTATTCAACAAACGAGGTTTTGGGGTCCAGGGGGGGGAATGTTCGCGCCGTCGCACAAGCCCGGGGCACCGTGGAGCAGGAGGGGGGGGGGG